ATGGTTATGCTGGAACTTAGAGTTTATTGTTGATAAAAAGTTCTCCAAAATTAGATGAAGGTGATAGTTACTGGGTGTTTCTGTGTGATGGATATAACATTGATTCACCAACTAAGGCATTAAGAACTCTAGCATAACCAGCTACCAGTATTTATGTTTCTGTGAGAAAATAGCTATGAACTAGAACTTGAAAGGAATGATGTAATTATGTAATTGATTGACGATGCAACTTGTTATGCTATGTACTATGTTAAGCAATATAACACTTAAAAATTCACAGAGAAGAATTAGAAGCCATTTATTCTATCCAGGTGGTGCTTGCATGTAAAGGTTATCTTTTTAATCTTCTTTGACTTTATTAGAGGTGATGCTAGGGCTCCCTGAGGCAGGGTTCTTGAACACGATAGCAAAGACGTACAACAAAATAACAATGAAGCTATTAGCATGTCATATTGTTTAGTACTGAAGCAAGATAAATTCATGATGTGTTTTATAAAAAGTTGATTAAAAAACAGTGTCCTGGTCCAAGTTTCAAACTCAACATCCAAAACCAAAAAGTAAAGTGTCCGAATAGAATTATGTTTCCAGAAACGAAATTCGAGTAACAAGATAAGAAATGAAAAAGAAAAAGAAAGACAAAACAAAAGAAAAAGAAAACGTGCCAAAAGTGTGCTTCAGGTGGTGCACAAATGCTCTGCCCATTGAGTTCAGGCGGCTTTTTGCTTCACACTTTGCTCACCTAGCACTTGCTTGAAAAAAATTGAAATCGCGAGGACCATAGTTGAAGCAATATATTTATCATGTGTAAAAAATTACGTGATATTTTCCCCCAATCTTACGATCAACTTTGTAAAGATAAAATTTTTCTTCTTAACATCTAGTTTATATTCCTCATCGATAGAGCACTCATATGGTGGAACTTGTTATTACTTGTAGTGGTTAGGCTGAAATTAACATTAGCTTGTGACAGGTAAGAAGCAATCAAACACAAGAACAATCAAAATACTACCATTGGCAAGTAAATAAATATCAGGAAGATATTGACGTAAAAGAGTGACACTTCATAATCAATTTGATATTCAACCACCTAAAAGTTATTACAAACCAACAACTTATAGGATCAAATTACTATCGAAATAGAACTACCAGACGATCTGAAACTTATACATATATAAATAAAAAAAGGGACAAAAATAACTTAAAGAAACAAAAACCTAAATCTAATCTTAGAAGATAGTAATTAACTTCTTTAATCCTATCTTTATGAGCTCTGTTAATTTGAACATTCATTTTAATATAGTGCTTTTCGCGTTCTTCCTTATTTGTTTTTTATGTTTCAATATTTACCCATACAAGTACTATCATCCACTGTTTTGGTTAGCTGAAAGTTCCTTGTAGCCAGGTCCGCAGTGTGTTTTCACATGTGCAAAAGAACACAGAGTGCTGCCTAATCAAGGTTTTACTTGTTGCCTTGCAATGGATGGCGTCAACGTACTTGCATCAGGTTTTGAGAAGGATGAAAAGGTATGATGCTTGTTAGCTACTCCATGTTTCGACTTGTGGAATGAAGAATGTGATTTAAGAAACCTCTTTGTTTCTTCTCAACTAATTATAAATCGCTCGTGATGATGATGTTGATATTCTCATGTAAGCTTTTGAGTTCCTGATGATTAGAACTGTTCAAGTATAGGCGATATCCCCTTGCTAGTTTAACAATTTTTATTTACCTCTGGTTATGAATCTTCTATATCGTGAAGCTAAAAAGGGTGGAGACTTTGCTTTTGTCTCGATGGCGCCACTTATACTTGATAAAAACTAATAATTTGGCTTAATGTTTTTTTTTCTAAAGAATAAAGTATGCCACATTGTTCCGGTTTGTTTGAGCTTCTTTGATTGATTGAAAGTTTAATTTGTTGGCTGTGTCAATGCTCCATATTGCTCCCTACATCTGATGATGAGTTGTCTACCTAATGACAACGAGACTCTTCATGTCTTCAATTGCAGCAGTTATTTCAGAGCTGATCGTTTTATTTGCTTTATGTTTTCACATTTCTAAGATCTTTTAATAGAGTGTTGCCAGAACAATGAGAAAATACTGACCTTTATTATGCATGTTATGAAACTGCTTAAATAGGCGTAGTATGCTTGGAAGCTTGTCATTTTCCTTCCTTTATCTGAACTTATAGCTATGAAATCATCACCTGGGTCGAGGGCCTCAAGGTGATAGGCGATGTTATTGTGATGTTCTCTTGTTAATATTGTTTGCTCAGTCAGATTGGGGTCGTTTATTCATATATATTTTTTTTTTTTCTCAACTCTCTCTCTCTCTCTCTCTCTCTCTCTCTCTCTCTCTCCGTGTTTTCACTTAGACCACTTTGTGATAACATTTGATTGCCACTTGAAGGCTGATATTGCAAAGATGATCGCTGCAATGGGAGGGGTGCTGCATACAAAAGCTTCACCGGATGTCACTTTTGTTATTGCAAAGGATGTTCTGGCTCAAAAATACAAGGTATCTCCATTCTGCTCTTTATTATTAAGTTTCAGGTTTTGTATACATGTATATATACCAAATTCAATCACTTAATCATATGTTTTTTTTTTTTATTTTTATTTTTTATTTTTTATTTTTTATTTTTATTTTATTTTTATCGTTCTCACTTAATTATATGTTGCTTATTATAGAAAGAACTTTCGGCATGGAGAGATGACAAAACCAATAACTCATGCTGATTATTTGATTTTATTTAGATATTACACTTAACACTAAGCTCTGTATATAAATGAGTAAATTTTGGTTTAGTTATTAACATGATATAATCATTAGTCCCTCTGGACTCGTCCTGTCCTTTCTTTCTCCCCTCTTCTCCTTTCTTTCTCCCCTCTTCTGGTACATTTATTTCAGTATCCTTCAAAAGGTATATCTCATGATGTAGTTGCAGCTCGTTGCATCAGCAGTTATAATAGTTGCTTCACTATTAATACAGTCTGCATTGTCCTTTGAGTTTTAAGAGTAATAATAGGATAAGGTTCTTTTTGGGATTGTGAGAGTTCTATTTCAAGCTTAGGATGTACCTTTAAGATCACATTTTATCCCAGGAAGCCTTTGAGGAATGTTCAGTTGCTTCAATTTGGTTCATAGTGATCAGACTCGTGCTTTGTGTATTAGGGACTGAATTTTGCCAAAAATAGAGTTGTTAGACAGAGCTATTCTGCGTGTTGCATTTCTGTATCATCTGTCACTACTATATAAAAGGAATGAGATGAACGTAATCTGTGGAACAAAAAACTCTTCTATGGAGGATGAATAAATATTCGTAGTTCATTTTGCATATCAGCATCCTAAGTTGTCTCTTTCTTTCTCTCCTTATTCCTCTTTGAAACTGTTGCAGTGGGCTCTAAACCATCGCAAAATACCAATTGTCACCAAAAATTGGCTTCATCAGTGTTGGAAAGAGCATCGTGTAGTTCCCCAGGAGCCCTATAAGGTTCTTCCTTTTTCTGGATTAACAGTATGCGTCAGTGGAATCCCAGCAGGTTGAGAAAATGGCGTTTAGTTCCTTATTTTTGGCAATCCGATAAATTTGTTTTAAAGGTTGTACATATATATTTGTAGATGAGCGTAAGGAAATGGAGAAGCTTGTGATGCAAAATGGTGGCAAGTATTCTGCTGAACTAACCAAGAGATGCTCACATTTAGTTTGCGATATATCCTTTATGTTTTCTTTTTTGGGTCATTACTTTACGTACTAGCATGATTTTGTGTGTTAGTTCAGCATTACTGTATAAAGGAAAATCATCCATTCAATCTATGGATGCCTACAAAATTAATGTGACAATTAATGACTTAAGTTTGTTGCAGTCATTCCTCGCAAAAAAGAACATACTGGTGTATTAGCTCGAATTTGTTGCTCTTTCACTTAATGGATTTTATAATTATGATTTGGCTCTGTTGTGTTCTGATTTTGTACTAACTGTTTGATTATATACTTTGGTTTCCTTAATTTTTTGGTAAGCTCCTGAAGGTGATAAATTTAAGGTTGCTAAAAGATGGGGTCACATATACATAGTTAATCGGAAATGGTTTCATCAATCTGTTGCCAGGAGAGGTAGTAATCATGTATATGCTCTGCTATGTCTCTGCTTCTATTTTTTTTAGTGTATACTGTTTTTCATCTGGGAGTAACTTTTTTATGATTCCTAACCTTTTCTTCCCCCCTTTTTTTTTGTGTGTGATTTTCGGGATATTTGGACATGTGGATAAATAGCATGCCTATGTGAAGAATCCTACCCTGTTCAAGGTATTGTTGCATCTTCTGTGAGTGGTTTTAAGATATCGGAGCAAAATAGTCAAGGCAAAGTTACCAGAAATCCACAATATTGCTCATCATCAATTGCCTCTGCCTTGGATTCGGAAACCACTTGTCCTGCTCAGGATATGGAACCTAATCTTGAAGTTCCCTTGTCAAATATGTGTTCGGCATTTTTTGAGGTTCCTCCATTACCTAAAGTTGGGGATGATCCACCTGCTGATGAGCACAAACACGATCCTGATGTTTCCCGTTGCATTGCTGATGACTCTGAATGTGAGGATGATGACTTATACTTGTCTGAGTGCAGAATCCTACTTGTAGGTTTTGAAACTTCTGAATTACGGAAGCTAGTTGACATGGTTCGCCAAGGCGGTGGTTCCCGTTATATGTCGTTCAACGAGAAATTGACGCATATTATAGTTGGAAATCCATCGGAGATGTAAGTTATTTAGCATATGCATTGGCTTCTTGCTCAAATGTATTATCTGCCAAAATAAGTTTATGACATCAATTCTTGAAGTCCTCTGATAGTTCTCCATTTGTTTCCTTACCATGAGGTGCATCAAGTCGAATATCGTGCTAACAATAACTAATATTGTCTAATTTGATAAATGGTTCTGCAGTGAAATCAAGGAAGTAAGAAGCCTTGCATCTCTAGGAATAATTTATATTGTTAAAACAACATGGCTAGAAGAATGTACTTCGAAAAAGAAAGAGGTTCCTGTACATCACAGCCACATTGCTTATGATTTGCTTCTTCCAAAAGGTACTCAAGATGTAATTATGTTATTTAACCCTGAAAAAGGCATACGTTTGGATTTTTAACTATTAGTTGGGCTAAATATGATTTTGTATCTCCATTTGGCAATTCTAATGGTTTCATATCTTTACCTTATCTATAGATTCTGTAACTTCGAATAAAGCAACTGCAACAAGCATGATAGGTTCGAGGCATGGGGGAAAGGCCTCCATTTCTCAGACTGTGGAAAACGCCGTGATGACCGAGAATTCTGAATGTGAAGTGTCATCTGGTAAGAATTAAGAATTAATCGCAACTAGCAGCCCCTATACTTATCAGGTTTATTTTATGTCTTTAGGTTTGAAGGATGTTAAGACGAAGGTGCAAATCGGATTGAGCAATGGAAATAAGCATATAAAATCCTCAACCATATTTAAAGGGAAGCTCTTCTGTTTTTCAGTCTCTTTTCCCCTAGAACAAGTAAGTGTTTCCATCCTTTGGTTTCCCAAATAATATTAGTAATATATACTTAGCATTTGTTTATGTTCCGTGTTTGCTTTCGGACTCTAAAAATATTGAAGTTGTGATGCACTTCGGTTTTCAAAAAATCCCCGAATGTGAGTCTCGCTGCCCAAGTCTAAATTGCTGAATTACAGAGGATAGATTTACATGCCTCCACTGTTTATAACCTTCTTATTTATATATTAGTCATAACTTTGTGCACCCAAATTAGCTATGAAAAATTCTGAAATTTGCCAGTATATCATTTCTCCAGATTTGTTACTAATAATTTGGCTAGATGTCAATAGATGTCAATCATTTACTTACCCAAGTTTAGCTACAATCCCCCATCACAAAAAGATACTCCAAGTTTCCATTTAAGGTGTCCTAAAGATATAGTCCTACGCCTTGTTTGGCAATAAGCGGATAACTCATAGCGGATTGACAAGTGGATTATATTAGTTGCTTGTAAATAATTGTTTGGTAAATAGCGGATAGTATAACTATTTTGGAAATTTTATGTTAGCATGTTTTTTTACGAATCATCTCTTATCAAAATGCACCTTTATTGAGGTTTTTCAGAATTAGCGTCTTGGGGTAAAAAAGCTAATTAAATAAGCTCTTTACCAAACAAAGTCAATTAGTGGATTTGACGGGATATATGTTGAAGATTATATGTGCATGTGGTGTCATGTGTGAGTATGTATGAGCATTTATAACTACTTGAAGTTCATAGAGTTTTATTTTCGGTATTGAAGTCGTGACTACGACTTTGTAAGTAGGAACAACTTCATTTGGTCCTTAGTAGGCTTGACTTATAGACGACGTCGTATAGGCAGTGCGTGGGATATAGATGTTGTTTGCATGTACGGACCTCAATTAAGAATAATGAAATGAAAATATCTTTCACTCTTAGCTCGATTTCCACATGGTACCAGAGTGCGTGACGATCCTGTGAAGCTTTGAATCGATCTCCAATGGCGGGCAATCAAAACTTCGAGGCGTGGCCAGCGCTGAATGCGAGGGCTGGCGCTAGCTCAGAATAGTGTGAGGATAATCCGATAATCCAGGTATGCAGCTAGTGTCGCCACCTCTTAATGGATCCAATTTTCTCGCTTGGAAGCCATCGCGCTAGGTGCAAAAACAAAATTAGGTTTTATTAATGGCACAATTGAAATGCTGAAAATGAATGATGTGAATTACGAGAAATGGCGGAAAGTGGATTGGATGGTGACCTCATGAATTTTGAGTTCATTATCGAAGGAAATTGCTGATGCATTTATGTATTCTGAGACGACTAAGGAGTTGTGGGATGAAATATGTCAGAGGTATGGGGAAAACAATGGTCCACTAATATGTCAATTGCAAAGGGAACATTTCGAGCTTGAAGCAAGGAAATGACTGTAATGGTCTACTTCAACAAATTGAAGAGGATGTGGGATGAATTAGGGTATTTGGTTCCACAACTGATCTGTAAGTGTGAGATTGGCAAGGCACCTGCAGAACAAAGTATGCAAACAAAGCTTATGAAAGCTTTGACCATGTTAAAAATCAGATGCTATTGATGGACCCTCTACCATCAGTAAATAAAGCTTATTCAACGGTCCTATCTGCAGAAAGACAAAGATATGTGTAGTCAGGTGATCTCAACACAAGTGTTGCAATGGCAATCAAGTACAACATCTCTGGGAAGGAGCATAATGTGAGGTCACAGGTCAAAGGACAGGAAGAGAGGGGCAAAGATTGATAAGGGAAGAAAGATCTAAGTTGATTTGTGAACATTGTGGGAAAAATGGGCATGAAAGAAATACATGTTTCACATTGCATGGATATCCCGACTGGTTCAAGGAGACAAAGGATAAGAGGCCAAGGGGAGCTGTAAATATGGTGCAGACAGAAAATAGTTCCAAAATTCAAGCGATGGAAATAGTTCAATAACAGATATATCTACTTTAGCACAAGAGGTGGCCAAGTTATTGGCAAAACATCCAGTTGAGAGGTGGCCAAGTTATTGGCAAAACATCCAGTTGAGACTAAAAAAGGAAAACAGTACAAGAAGAGGAACATTATGTGAACTTTGCAAGCATTGAAAGAAGAGAAGAAAGGCACTATGCACTATGTATGTTTGATAAGGTTAATAGTAGTGCCTGGGTGATTGATATAGGAGCCAGTAGACATATGTGCATTAATAGTTCACTCATGAAGAATGTGAGAACCTTGAAGTCACCAATTGCTGTTATCTGCCAGATGGATCCAACAAGATGGTAACACATATTGGAGGTGTGATGATATCAGAAGATCTTGTCTTACAAGAAGTGTTTTTTGTGCCATCTTTTAAATACAACCTCTTATCAGTCACACAGGTGTGTGTAACATCAAATTTGAGATGCAGCTTTACCTCTAAGGGCTGCAACTTGCAAGATCAAGAAACTGGAAAAGTAGTGGGAGTTGGTGAACTAAGAGAGAGGTTGTACATATTGAGTTGTGAATCAAGGAAGATGGTAGTTGGGCTGAGTTGTAAAATTTCATTGGAGGAGTGGCACAAAAGCCTTGGACATGCTTCTTTTGGAGTTCTGAAGCAATTACCCTTCCTCAAAGGATCGGTGTAATGAAAAGGGAGAGAAGGACTTAAGAAAGTGTGATGTTTGTTATAAAGCAAAACAACACAGACTGCCTTTTCCTACCAGTATCAAATCAACAGAATGTTTTGCCCTAATACACATTGATATATAGGGACCTTGCAGAGAGGACTTAGTAACCAAGACTCCTTACTTCTTGACCATAGTGGATGACTTTAGCAGAAGTGTGTGGATATATCTTATGGGAACTAAAGGAGAAACTGTGGCCTTAATCAAGAACTTCATCACTCTAGTACAGACCTAATTTGATGATAAAAATATTAGGCAAGTAAGCAGTGACAATGGAAGGGAATTCTTGTGAAATGAGTGTAAGAGGCTATTTGAAGAACATGGGATAGTGCATCAGAGGACATGTGTGTATACACAAAAATGGTCTAGTTGAAAGAAGACATAAACATATTCTTGAGATTGCTATGTTTCAATCTGGTATGAACATTAGTTTCTGGCCATATGCAGTGCTCACTGCAACACATATTATAAACATACTTCCAAGTGTGACTTTGCATGGAGAAACTCCATTTGAAAGAGTATATGGTGAAACCCCAGATTATCACAAACTCAAGCCTTTTGGATGTTCGACTTATGCTGTGAACACAAGTCCAAATAAAGGGAAATTTGATCAAAGATCACATAAATGCGTGTTCCTTGGGTATGCAAGAGGATGTAAGGGATACATTTTGCTTGACACCAATGATGACAGAAGGTTTGTATCTAGAAATGCGATCTTCTTTTTAATTGATGAATTCCCCTATCATATCATGAGAAAGGGAATGATGATGGAAAGGGAATGACAATGCCTGTGAGTCCTATACTTTTGATTAAGGAGACATCAAATGTAGATGGTAATAAGGATGTGGAAACAAAAGGTGAAGAGGGTGATCAAAATGATGGTAGAAGACTGAAAAAAAGGCATTCCTGGATGAAAGATTATGTTTGTCATACTAACACAGTTGATCGGTCTTAATGTGTTCAAGAAGATGAAGTGTTCTTGGAAAATATTGCAGTCCAGCAGGACCTAACTCATTATGATTAAGCAAAGAAGGATGAGATATGGGTTATGGCGATGGATCAGGAATTGGAGGCCCTAGAGAATAACCATACATGGGAACTAGCATATTTGCCACCTGGAAAGAAAGCAATAGGGTCCAAATGGGTCTATAAGATAAAAAGGAGAGTTGATGGGAGTGTTGAAAGATACAAAGCTAGATTGGTTGCAAAGGGGTTTACTCAAGTGGCAGGAGTGGATTATTTTGATGTCTTTTTACCAGTGGCAAAATTAGTGGCAAAATTGGTAGTTGTTAGAATGTTCATGGCAATAGCTGCAACGGACTATATGGCAACTGGATGTAAATAATGCCTTTCTCTATGGCACTTTGTCTTTGTCTGAAGAAGTATATATGAATATTCCTCAAGGATATCACAAAGGAAAGCCAGGTCAAGTATGTAGACTAGTCAAGAGTTTGTATGGCTTGAAACAAGCCTTGGAATTGTGTTGTCAAAAAGGATGTTGAATTTTGGCTTGGTACAGTCACCTCAAGATCATTGTCTGTGTACACACAGTTCCTTGCTATGCTGGTATATGTAGATGATGTACTGATCGTCGATTCTGATATTGGGTTAATTAAGGCACTGAAGAACTACTTGCATGATATATTCACAATCAAGGATCTTGGAGTGGCTAAATACTTCCTAGGAGTTGAGATCACAAAACAATATATGGCATACATTTATGTCAGAGGAAGTATATCCATGATTTGTTGAAGGATCTTGGACTGGAGGATTGCAAGGTAACTAGTACTCCTTTACCACAAGGACTTCGATTAACAGGCTATGATGGTAGTCCTCTCTCAGAACCAGACAAGTATAGACGGTTGATAGGAAGACTTCTATACTTGAATATGAGCAGGCCAAAAGTGCCGAATGTGAGCTATGCAGTGCAACAATTAATCCAATTTGCGAATAATCCTTTCACTGAGCACTGGGAAGCAGCCATTCATGTGCTTAAATATCTTAAAGGTACTGAATCTCTTGGTTTGCTGCTTAGCTCCAAATCAGACACTACTGTCGGTGTTTTTTGTGATGCTGATTGGGCTACCTCTAAAGATACTCGTCGATCAATCACTGGCTATTGTGTTTTCAATGGAGATAGTGGCACGATCTTCAACTGAGGTTGAGTATAGGGCAATGGAACAACTGTGTGTGAATTGCAATGGATCAATGCGCTGGGTAAGGAGTTTCAGATACAACCATCTTTGCCCATCACATTGTGGTTTGATAATCATCCTCCCATGCATATCACAGCTAATCCCGTTTTCCATAAGAGGACCAAACACTTGGAGATCGATTGTCATATTGTTCGAGACAAGTTCAAAGCCGGTTTCATCAAGCCAGCTTATGTTCATTCTTCTGCTCAACTGGCTAATTTCTTCACCAAATTGTTGCCACCTGGGGTGTTTCATCGCCTATTGTCCATGCTGGGTGTGTGTGACCTCCCCCCCTCCATCTTGAGGAGGGAGTGTTGAAGATCATATGTGCATGTGGTGTAATGTGTGAGTATATAGGAGCAGTTATAACTACTTGAAGTTCGTTTTATTTTCGGTATTGAAGTCGTGACTACGACTTTGTAAGTAGGAACGACATCGTCTGGTCCTTAGTAGGCTTGACTTATAGACGACGTCGTATAGGCAGTGCATGGGATATAAATGTTGTTTGCATGTACGGACCTCAATTCAGAATAATGAAATGAAAATATCTTTCACTCTTAGCTCGATTTCCACAATATATGACAATAGAGTCGTTTGAATAAATAATAATTAATTTACAGTACTTTTTACCTTTTCAACAATAATGATTGTGTTTTGTTAAACTGTGTGGAAATCGTCATAAGACTATCATGTGGGTGGAGGGATTAATATGTTTCTTAGCAATTTATTGTTATCTTATTGGTACTTATAACCATTATTCATTTGGTTCATTAGTCCATTCTTAGGAATTACCTGCCACTGTAGGCCTTCCATCAGTTTTAGATTTTGACGTAATGTGTTGTTCCTCAGAGACCAGAGATAGTGCTTTGGATTAATGAAGGTGGTGGAGAGGTTGTTGCTGATCAAATCGAGAAGAATGTGCACTTCATTGTGGAGCGTCATGGTGTACCGTCCCGGCTCACTAGTACTTCCAGGAGTGCATATGTTACCACCCACTGGGTTCGTTCTTGTCTGGAGGTATTTATATAGCTCTGAAACCTGTGCCTCTCTGATAGACTCAGTTTATGGACAGCCTTATAACTTTTTACGCAGAAACTAGCTTATATGAAAACTTGCATTATAGTTGTCATGGATTATTTTGGCTCGAGTGACTCCTACGGACCAGACTAGTCTGTTCATTGCACAAGTGATTTGTCTAGAAATTTTCCGATTAAAGAAAAGAATATGAAGGCTATCTTATCATGTAACTTGTTAGCCTGGATATACGTCATAAGACTCATAACTTCAGTGGGACTTTATTTGAGGTTACAAATACTGGAATAAATTTGAATACTTGTGACATTTGCGTCATTATTTTTGCTCTGGTACTATATGATTACAGATAAAATTATGTTATTGGTAACCTAGTACAATTCCCGTGAAATACACGAGTGTTTGATTAAAAAATTAAGTGCAACAATGAATGAAAAAGAAATAATATTCTTATTGTGAAATAAAACCATAAATAATTAATAAGAAAATAAAAGAATTTGTATTATTATTTCGATTTCTAGAAAATATTTTGTATGAAATATTATTTGTATTATTTATGATGAATTCATTTTTGTCAAAATTATATAGAACAATTTATCTATTCTGCAGTTAATATAACGCTTGTGAACAACACGGGTGCATTAAAATAAAATATTTACACTAAAAGAAATAAGAAAAGAAATTTATGTTCTTATAATAGAATGATAAAAAAATGTAATACAAATAATTAAATAATTAACAAAGCTAATATTTAAACTCACACACACACATATCGTTGGGAAAAAAAAAAACTCATACTTGTATTTTGCAC